GGTAGTCTTTAGAGCTTCGGCTCTGCTTTTAAGCACAGCCAAACCTCCCTTAGACTGAAGGTTCTATTATTCAGTGCAGACTCACAGCAAGCAAATTTGAGAGACTGAGCTAGCCGATGGCAGATAGATAGATCACTGAATGATTCTGTGAGCAACTCAATCTGCCTGCCTGCTTTGCCTGATTCTGGGTAAAAGTTGCTCTTTTTTTAACAAAAAATTCAATATTTATATAAATATTTATAATATTTACATACAAGCCATGCCCAGCCAGTCACATGACCACCAAGCCACAGCCACCAATTAGGCCACGCCCACAGAACTGGTTAGTGGTCCCTGGGATTTAAAATTATGAATGTGGTGGTCCCTGAGGCCAAAAGGTTGGCGACCCTGAGGCTGGGTTATACAGACAAATCTTCATAATGCTGGAACAAACAAACGAGCAAGTTGTTTTCTGCAAAAGCCCCTTCCCCTTTTGTTCGTCTTTTAATCCTTCCGGGAGGGGCCATTCATTGTCCATCTATGGCCTTACTCTCATGTCGACCCTGAGTTCTTAATTGCGCCTTCCTTTTGGCAGCTCTGCGCATGCACAGCCTGGGAACCGGTTCCAGAAGCTCCCCCGCTCACTGCTGTCTGAGCCCGAAGGCAGCTGATGACTGCCAGACTTCCCTGGCCCCATCTCTGCCTCTGACGCAGAGCCCTTGACCGAGCCTTCCTCAGCCTCCAGGACTGTCCTTGGTTCCTCCCCAACCTCCTCACTACTGTCCGACTCTGATGCCAGCTCAGCCGGCAGGCTACAACACAACATGTGAATTATATGTTCAACCCGTAGGCCAACTGGGGAATTCTGGGAGTTGAAGTCCATACGTTTTAAAGCAATAAAGAGTTGGGGGGGGAGGGGGGAGGAAAAAAAACTGCTTGCTAAGAATATAATTTTCTCCGTGGATACCTTGCAATGGTTTTCTGGTTGTTTAAATGGGTCTGGAAAGCAACAAAGGCTGGAAATCTTAACACTTGTTCATTTAGCGACCTTTCAAAGTTACAACACCACTGAAAAAAGGGGCCTAGGGCCGTTTTTCATACTTACGACCGTTTGCAGCACATGATCAAAATTTGTGCAACTGCGACTCATACTTACCACGGTTGCGGTGTCCCGGGGGGGGTCACATAATCCCCCTTTTGCGACCTTATGACAACCAAAGTCAACGGGGAAGCCCGATTCACTTAACGACTCCATGACTCACTTAACAACTGCAGGGGATTCCCTGAATAGCTGAAAGGTAGTAAAAGGGGGCAAAATTAACTGAGCAACTGTCTTGCTTAGCAACAGAAAACTTGGGCTCCTTTATTTCTCGTAAGTCGAGGATTACCTTTTCTTTAAGATGAATTCCTGTCAGGCTAAATGTGAGGAAATGAGACAGGTTTTTCTTTCCCTCAACAAAACCGGAGCTTTATTTAAAGCGTATGCCCGAATCTCGTCTCAATGAAGGTATTGGGAAATCTGTATTTGGCAATCTGTAAATAGGGGGGGGGGGGGGGGGGATATATAAAAATAAGGTATTTCTGGCTAGTATGGTTTATTTTTGTGCTTGGAGACCATAGGAAGGGGAAGTGAGTCTTATTTTACACTTTCTACAACCCACAAATCTGTAGGATGATGCCCTCTTAACTTTGTGGCTCTCCACCCTCCGCCCACAGGTTCTGCATAGCATATAATAAGATAATCCAGAAATAATTCTGGTTTTAAGGGGGGAGAAGTGGTTTTCTTCTCTCACGACTATGTTGTGGATGCCGTATGAAATCCGCTTCAGTGTGTCCTTCCTTTTTCTTTTTTTTTTAAACACCTGAGCTAATGTTAAGATGACAGGTAATCCTTGATTTACAACCGACTATTCATTTAGGGACCATTCTGTCAACTCAAAAACATTTCTCTGGTCTTTTAGAGTTGACAGCAGAAAAGGAGTAGGGGAAGTAGTGCATTCCTTAAATATTTTCATGGATAATTGCTAGGCGGGCCGAAGCTTCTGGCGCACAAGATTATTACTGGAGAGCATGATTGATGACTCTTGGCTATGGATGTGTCCCATTGGAGAATATACATCCAGGGGGTGGGGGGAAGGCAAGGGTCAAGGGGGAAATGAATAATGTGTCTCAGAGTCGGCTGCACCCAGGTCACACCGACATGGTCACTCCTAATAAATCAATTTTTTTTTTACTCTGAAAGATGCGGATAGAGACTTATGATTATCTATGGGTGTGGATTGTCGGAGCCCTGATACGTTCAAAGTTTCAACGGCACTGATAAAAAGTGATTTGGGATAGTTTTTCACATTTATGACCGTTGAAACTTCCCCAGGGACATGTGATCAAAATTCGGGTACTTGGCAACTGACTCGTATTTATGACAGGATCCGTGTTATCTCCTTTTTGTGACCTTCTGACGAGCAAAGTCAAAGGAGAAAGCCAGAATTCACTTAGCAACCACGTGACTAACTTTAACAAATGCATGATTCGCTTAACAACTAGGGCAAGAAAGGTTGTAAAACAGGCAAAAGTCACTTAACTTTCTTGCTTAGTAACAAATGTTCAGCTCAGTCGTAGATAAAGGATTACCTATTGTAGTTTCAAACTCTTGTGATAGGACGGAGAAAAACCAGCATGAAGTTTAACTGGACACAGATGGTCCACATGATACAGACAAACCTCCAAGTGGCCTCAATGACTCTCTAAAAAGAATGCAAATAACTGTAACATAAATCCTTCCGTTCCCCATCATCCAGTCAGAGCTGAAGAAGCTTCTTTGGATGAGAAGCGAAACGTCTTCAAAGAAAAAAAAAACTCAGAAAGTCCAGTTGCCTCCTGAAAAAAAAAACACCTTTGGTGCAACCATGACCTGGATGATGGAGAATCTCCGGAGATCAAAATACATTTGGACCAAACAGAACAACTTTAATTGGAGAATTTGGAAATGTTTTAAAAACTCTTCAGGACCTCAAATAAGCCTTACAATCACAACTGAGCCCAAAATTTCTTTTGCTAAACAAGTTGAGTTTTGCCCCCATTTTACGAAATATCTTGCCATGGTTGATAAGTGAATCACTGAGTAACACAGTTATTAGAAACTCTTAGTTCTTCTTTTCTTGAGACTAATAGCCAAACCCAAAACCTGCGGCAGTTCTTCATATGGTTTTCATTAGAAAGATTTTATGTTTTAGCCTCCAGCGCCGTAATCATTCTTGTTGCTCTTCTCTGCACTCTTTCCAGAGTCTCAACAACTTTTTTTTAATTGTACGTAACGTTTTATTTTAAAGCATTGGGTGGTCCAGGCCGTGTGATTAGCTGCTCCTGTACAAAAACAGCTTTGAAATTGGAGATTACTGGTCAAACGTCCTCGCTTACTGGTTTTGGCTGCCTTAGACTTAGGATAACTTTATTGTCACTTTGGACGTACACTAAATCGGCATAAATTAATATGAAATTTCGTTGCATACAGCTCTCCAATGCCAACTAGCATTGCTCTGTTTATCTCGGCTCTCTACAATATCCATGGAAAACAGAGTGGAAAATATTCCACTGGCCTTTTTTTTTTCTTCTCCCCTGTAAAGATTTAAAATAAAAAATAAAAAAACTTAAGTGCTTCATTTATCTGCGGAAAACTTTCCATTTCACAAGTTCATTTATAATAAATCGTTGCCAGGCTGACTTGGCAGCTTCAACCATTATCCCAAATAAACGCACAAAAAGTAAAACGTTAATGATTGAGGTGTGGGTTTTTTTTTAGAAGTTTGAATTCAGGATCCCTTTTTTCATATCGTCAAAATGAATTCGTGGAGAAAAAAATTCTTAGTTTTCAAAAACTCACAGCTATGATGGAGATCCTGCAAATACGTATATATAAATTTTGTAAGGTTACTGCTTGAGTGATGTTCTTTCTGGATTGCCATACAGTGGTTTTCGAAATGGAATCTTGGTTTATGCTGAACAAACTCATTTTTAGCTCACATTTGGAAGCATAAAAGAATATGAGAAAGTGCTAAAGAAAAACCAGGATCGAATCCTTTCAGTTTTCCAGTCGGGAAATTTGTGGAATGTTCCCAAGAAGAGAAAAAAAAAGTCTTAGGAATTGGAATAACTGGATTATTGGGAGAAAGAGAGGCTTGGGAATAGCTTTCCCAAATCTGGCCCTTCTTTTAGATATGTGAGCATCGAATAAATCCCAGAATTTTCATTAGTACCCATGCTAGTTGGATAATACATGAAGTCCTCGACTTATTATTATTACCTTTTATTGTCAGAGTACAAAAAAGGACATGACCATTTTTCACACTTAACAACCATTGCGGCATCCCCGTGGCCACATGATAAAAACTCAAAAACGCTTGGCAACGGACTCATCTGGGCTCAAAGCTCAGTTTGGAATCTTCATTGCTCCCTGACATTTCCTTTAGCAGTCTTTGTGGGAAGACATTTGCTTGTCATATTTGAGGAACATTTCTTCCACATCTACCCTTCTCAAACTATTGGTGATGATGGCCAAGCTATAGATGTATGTGAGGTCCTAGGAAGAAGAAGACTAGAGTAGAGGTGGAAGGGACCTTGGAGGTCTTCTAGTGCAACCCCTTCCAGTGATGGAGCACCCACAACCTCTGAAGGCACAAGCTGTTCCACTGGTTAATTGTCCTCACTGTTTGCAAGTTTCTCCTTAATTCCAGGTTGCTTCTCTCCTTGATTAATTTCCATCCATTGCTTCTTGCTTTGTCTTCTGCTGCTTTGGAAAACCCGTCTTCTTTGATTCTGGTAGACTTGACGGTGTTGGAACGCACCAGTTTCTGCTAAGAAGGTGGCCTTTACCACTTCAAGCTGAAAAAAAAGGATGTTCCTTAAGATATTTCCTATGTGTGTGGCCAACACAAATGGCATGTGTTGAACAGGCTCAGTTAGGAGCTGAGGCTTCTGGAACAAAACTTTACAAGGAACGCCAAACAAAGATCTCCCACCATCAGGTTGAAGTTGCACAACTCTATCATGAAGGTTGGGTTTGCCCACTCTTGTAGGCAAACATTTCATCCCTATTCGAGGGGACATTTTCAGTGCGCTTTGGATTGTGCTTGCGTGGGGGGGAGCACTGGGCCTTTAAAATAACCTTTCTGAGTCCTGGTTTGATTTTGGGTGGTGTGATTGGCTAGTTGTAGTTGCTGAGTCTATAGACCTTGGTTATAGGTACCATCTGTGCTGGTGGTGTTGTCCGACTATCTTATGATGATGTTAACGGTTTGGTTTCAGGTTGATTTGATTGTCTGCATGTGTCGCGGTCCGGTTTCTTCCGATCTGTCGAGTTATAACTTGTTTGCAGCGTGGCTGTTCGTGGGTCTTTAGATGCCTGCCTTTGGCATCGTTGGCTGACGTTCTTTCATTCTGAGTGGTTGGTAGGTGAAGTCAGATAACAGATAATCAGAATTGGAAGGGACCTTGTAGTTTCTTCTCCTTTTCCAAAAAGTGATTTTCCAAGAGATTTCATGCAATAGCTGTCATAAACCCTCCGTACTTTACTGATTAACAGAGTTGGAAGGGACCTTGTAGGTCATCTAGTCCAACCCCCAGCCCAAGTGGGAGACCCTATACCATTTATGACAGATGGGAGTCCAATCTCTTCTTGAAAGCCTCCCACAACTTCTGTTCCATTGGTTGATTGTTCTCACTGTCAGAAAATTTCTCCTTATTTCCAGGTTGAATCTCTCCTTGTTCAGTTTCCATCCATTGTTCCTTGTCTGGCCTTCGGGTGCTTTAAAAAATACCTTGACCCCTTCCTTCTCTCTGTGGCAACCCCTCAAATATTGGAAGGTTATCATGTCTCCCCTGGCCTTTCTCTTCCCGAGAATAGCCATGCTCAGTTCCTGCAACTGTTCATCATATGTATTAGCCTCCAGTCCCCTAATCATCCTGGTTGCTCTTCTCTGTACTTTTTTCTAGAGCCTCAACATCTTTTTTATAGTGTGGTGACCTGGATGCAGTGCTCTATATGTGGTCTTACTAAGCCTTTATAGAGTTGTATTAGTACCTCACTTGATCTTGATTGTATCCCACTGTTGTTGCAGTTTAGGATTGCATTGGCTTTTTTGCCTGCCACCGCACACTACTGGCTCATATTTAATCGGTTGTCCACTAAGACTCCAAGATCCCTCTCCCAGTAACTGCTATTGAGCCTGGTTTCACCTGATTTTAATGTCGATGGGTCTGTTTATGGATTTATCGGTGGAAGAACCAGTCTTCCGGGAATTTCCCTTTCTCTCCTTGACTTCGCCTGGATTACGACTGGGTCCCGGTTAGGTCGAATTTGTGTCCTTCTGCATCTTTGTGGACACACATGAGGGCTAGAGCAGGGGTGTCAAACGGGCCACGGGCCACATCTGGCCCACGGGCCACATCTGGCCCACAGGGTGCTTAGATCTGGCTTACAACTCTGATGCGGCGCCCTCAGTGAAATTGAGTTTGACACACCTGGGCTTAGAGGGTCATGTCTCTTGATGGCCGGGAAGTGTTTGTGTCAATTCATAAAATATTTCTCGGGTCTTTTAGAGTTGCCAACAGAAAGGGAGCGGGAGAATAGTGTAGCAGCTGCAAAAACGAAACTGCATTCCGTAAATGTTTTGAAAGATAGTAACTAGGTGACTGAGGTTTCTGCCGCGCAAAATTCTAACTGGTGAGAATGATTGCTGACTCTTGGCTATGGATGTGTCCCATTGGAGAATATGAATTATGATACACCCAGGGGGTGGGGGAAAACCAGGGTCAAGGGTGACAATGAATGATGTGTTTCAGAGTCGGCTACACCCAGGCAGCACCGGCATGTCTTCTAAAAAATCTTCTTTGAGCTTTGAAAATCAGGCTAGAGACTCATGATTTAATTGGGGGTTACTACCGGAGCCCTGACAAATACGGATGAATCCAAATACTGGACAGAGCAGACTGCTTCCGCTTTGGCCTTTCAGCCCCAAACCAGGAGCCCCTCGCAGGCAGTCGCTTCCGCGAACAAACTATTTTTGTGTCAAATTTAAGTTTACCGACAGTCTGATTGATGGTTTTCTTTCCTGTTTGGCCGGCATAGTTTCTTCTCGCAGTTGCTGAAGTCTTTTAAAGTGCTCTTGCTATTCAAGGAACAAAGCTTTTGTTTCCCCAGTGAAAGGCTAACTTTGGAACACGGGTTGCGAAGCTGCTGTTGGGAGCCACCGATGGCCACGTTGCTACATTGAATGGGACCAGGAGGAAAGGATGAGGAAAAAGGATGGTGGCTGGCTGGCAAAAGGACCGAGGGTTAGCAGCTTGCTTTGAAACAGCACAGCACAGCCATCCAGGACTGGAAAGGGACCTCAGAGGTCATCTAGTCCAACCCCCCCTGCTCCAGCAGAAGACCTTATATCCTCTTGGGCTGTGGGGGGTCTGTTCCCCACAGGTTCTAATCTCTAGGGGGGAAATGCACTGCAGAGTTGAAAGTGACAAGGTGCCACGGAGCTCAGAGAATATCTCCTTAAAGTAAATCCTGTTTATTGCCGGAGGACTCACGGGCTGGCTGCAGAGATCAGCCACGTGACAGGGGACCTAAAGACTTAGCAGCTGTCAGCTCTTCTCTGGACAGATCCTGCCAAGGCTGAAATGCAGGAGATAGGATAGCAATAGATACAGAGAGGGAGAGGGGGAGAGAGAGAGAGAGAGAGAGAGAGAGAGAGAGAGAGAGAGAGAGAGATTGGATGGATGGATGGATGATAGATAGATGATAGATAGAATACCTATAGATAACATAGGGAGAATGAGATGATAGAACAGTGGTGTGAACCTATGGCACATGTGCCACAGGTGGTACACAGAGCCCTCCCTCTGGGCATGCACGCCGTCCCCCTAGCTCAGCTCCACCACGCATGTGTGCGCGCTTCCCTCCAGCCAGCTGGTCTTCGGGTCTCTGGCGGGCGTGCGCAGGGGTGGTGTGCATGGGTAAGGCGCATGCGTGGGGCGCGCATGTTGCATTTTGGGTATGGCTTTGGGTACGGTGCCAAAATAGTTCACCATCACTGTGATAGAGATAGAGAGTTAAGATACAGACAGACTGTTTGGGTAGAACATTTATATTGCCACCTACTTACACATGGCAGCTCAAGGAGATCTTATAAGGATATAGAATATAAAAGAAATAAAAAGAAAAACAATAAAATAATAACCCCCCACCCTGGCAACATAGGGGAAGAAGGGGGGGAGGTGATAAAGATAGACAGACAGATATGAATATAGATGATGATAAGGTAAATTGATAAGATAATAAATGTGTATGAGAGAAGAAGGAGATGAATATAGATGATAGATTGATAGATGATAATAGTCACACATCAAAGAGAGAGAGAAGCCAAATAGATGTTCTAGAGGAGGCAAAATTTGTCTAGTCCCACACCCTCTGTTGTGCAACACAGTTATCTCTTCGTGTTGCGTTGGGCATGGCCAGAAATGTCTTCCAAGCTGCTGCCATTTGCATGCAAATGTGGGGCAGCCCCAGCCTTCCCCCACTTCCACTTTTGGGGCTTTGATCCCTGAGGATTTTCATACTGGCACCTTCCTCTCCTCTCACCTGCATTCAAATCTGTCCCACTCCCCCAGCCAGGTGTTTAATTCTGGTTGTGTTAGAGGAGCTGGGAAGAGGCTGGCTCCAAGAAAGTTTTCCCAACTCTTCAGGAGAAACCCTTCGAGACTGAGGTGGCATGACCGCCAAATCTTCTTTCCCAGTACAGGAGTCCTCGATTTAACGACCGTTCGTTTAGGGACTGTTTTGAAGTTAACGATGCTACCAAAAACAGGACTGGTCCTCCCACCTTGGGATGGTGGCAGCATCCCCACAATCAAAATTTGGGCACTTGGTAAAATGGTCATTATTTACCGGGACCGCCATTAGCGATTGCAAAGCAAATAGGAGGAGCCAGGGTTTGCTTAATGACTGCATGATTCACTTAACAACTGTGGTGATTTGCTTTAACAATGGTGATGGAGAAAGGTCATAGAATTGGGTACAGTTCACTTTTAATTACCGCCTTGGTTAGGCCCAGAAATTCTGGTCCCGGTTATGGACATAAATTGAGGACTAAGGCACTCCTTGTTGTTTGGCCAAATTCCTGATGGCTTCTTGATGTTGCATGTACTGCTTCAGCTATACGTCCTCTAACATTGTCTACCGGGGGATGGAAGCCTCTTGACCTCGTAGCTGAGCTGGTGTGGTTATGTAGTGTGGTTGTGTAAACCTCATAATTTGTGTAGACCCCATAAGTGCAAAGGGTTTGAGGGTCTGACAGGTACCAGAGCAGGGGTCGCCAACCTTTTGGACCTCAGGGACCACCAAATTCATAATTTTAACTCACGGGGACCATTAATATGAATTTTGACTGACGGTGGCTTGCTGATGTTGGTGGGAGAGAGAAATGAGATCTAATCTAACCTCTCCCCCACCCCCCACACACAGAGGCAGGTATGGGATTCAAATTTCTTAACAACTGGTCCTGTGGGCGTGGCCTAATTTGTGGGTGTGGCTTGGTCATGTGACTGGCTGGGCATGGCTTGTATGTAAATATAAATATTTATGTAAATATTGAATTTTTTATTTAAAAAAAGAGCAACTTTTACCCAAAATCAGGCAAAGCAGGCAGGCAGATTGAGTTGCTCACAGAATCACAGATTCATTCAGAGATCTATCTATCTGCCATCGGCTACCTGAGTCGGCACTGACAAATGGAAGCTTCAGTCCTAAGGAAGATTTGGCTCTGCTTAAAAGCAGAGCCGAAGATCTAAAGATTAGCTAGAAAGCAAGAAATCCAACGGTTTCCTGCTTTCTAGCTAATCTAAATCTCCCGGCACAGCAGAACCAGCTAATGGTTGGGTGGGGGAAGGAAAAATAGCAAGTTTGCCAGGTAAGAAGTAAGTGGGCAGGGAGGGTTCCCACGGGCCATGTGGGCAGCGCAGCCCTTTTTTTGAACTATTACCATCTGGCAGAAGGTACAGAATAATAAAAACAAGGACAAGTAGGCTTTAAAACAGCTTCTATCCCAGGGCAGTAGCTCTTTTGAATTCTGCTGTATAGTGCAGTATTGGTGTGGTGTCGGCGGTTTTCAATTCAATATGTGGAGGGTGAAGGATGTGTGTTTGTGTTTATTGTCATGATCATGAGGTACACTGAAGATGGTGTTTGATTTCGTTGTACGAGGTGCAATGACAATAAAGTAAACTAAAAAAAAATGGGAGAAAATAAGAGAACAACACTAGTTGAAGATTCCAGCCTGGCTATCTACAATGGAAGCGTTTATCCAAATGTTCTTAAAATGGGAAATATCATGAGATATAAAGATGTTTTAAATGAAAGGGGTGAACTCAAACCAAACCAGAACTGAATGAGTGAGGGATTGATATGAATTAGTAATTTTTAATGTGAATGTAACTATTTACATTATAGTAAGAGATGTATATCAAATATGAATATGTGCACAAGATATGTATGTATGTATGTACCCAGATGACACACTGTTGAATTGAAAAATGGATATGTTGTAAAATAAAATAAAAAATTTTTTTTTATATATATGCATAAAAAAGTTGCCCCTGACTTGGTACTACCTGCTCAAACTGATCCTACCAATCGGCTTTTTATTCTTGTGTCTTCGTGTGAATCTGTTGCAGAGGGGGAATAATCTACCCCCACCTCCCACAAACTGTTGTGTGCTGTGGTTTGTGTCTTGAAAACAGAAAAGCAGGTGCAGGATAGGTGGCCATGAGAAAACGGGCCACCGTGCAACCAGAAAAACAGCCCCCAAAACGTTGCGCAGGAAATGTCTCAGCTGAGAAGCTGCATCCTCGTTGCAGACTGGGGGAGCCCTGTGTAATGTGATTTTTTTTCGGTTAGGTTATAAATAGAGCCGAGGCAAGGAGCTCCTTTTCCTGCCCTCGAAGTGGATACCAGTCCTTCTCTCTCTCTCTCTCTCTCTCTCTCTCTCTCTCTCTCTCTCAGATGGGGGTGGGGGAACATGTTGTAGCAAATATATTAAGGCATCCTCTTCGGATAGTGTCCATCACCTCTCAAGGCAAAGCCTGAAATTGATAGAGGTTTATGTAATAAAGATCAGGGAAGAAGACCTGCTCTCTGTCATTCCAGAGACATACAAAGAAGCAGCTTCACGCATGTTGTGTTTAAAAGGCCGGTTGTGTAAAAAGAGGAGGCAGTGGGCCAAAACATCCACTTGACCAAAAGTAGACTTAAGTGGAGAATAATGTGCAGCGTTAAAGTCACAAAATGATTGATTTGTTTGTCCCAAAGGTGCTTTTCCAAAAGGCAACTGGACTTTGGTGGGTTTTGTTTTTTTTTACTTTGAAGACTTTTCACTTCTCTCATTCTAACATTTTTATTGAGCTTTAAGATAAGATAAAAAAATACAAAAGTAAGAAAGAAAACGATGGGGAGGAAGAGGGGGAAGAGAAGTGAGGAAGGATAAGAAAAAAGAAAGAAAGAGAAACATGACTTCCAACTCTCTGTTGTAATAAAATAAGGCGTTAACATCAAATCACAACTTTTTTTTTCATAATAATACAAGCAAGCCATTTCTATAAAAATCTATCAATCGAAGACGTTTCACTTCTCTTCAAAGAAGCTTCTTCAGATTGATTTGGTTCTCTTTTTTTAGTGTGTTGTATGGTTTGCAAATTCTGCTTCACAACTTGGGTGCTGGATTTGCACAACAGGGTATTGAAACGGGGTCTAGAGTCATGTCCAAGGGTCAGCATTTGGTGGGAATCTCAACTATTGTCTTATCCGGGCTTATTGTTTCTCAACCTTAATAACTTTACAATAAGTGGACTTCAACTCCCAGAATTCCACAGCTGGCCGTACCGACTGGGGAATTCTGGGAGTTGAAGTCCACACTTCATAACGTCGCCGTGGTTTTGAAATGGTGGCCTAGGCCCTCTCGTTTAAAACGCCGTAGGGTTAATTGAGGCATCATTTAATTTCTGGACATAGCAATTTTGTTAACTCACAACAAGAATATTGTGTGAACCCAGAC